GCAAGTCAGCAAGGATATGTGGTCGAAACTACCCCAAGATTGAAGAAAAGATCAAGAATTTGCAAAATTTCGGCACGAAGAAGGGATTCCTTGCTCAAACAAGGTGCATTGTCAAATAAAAGAAGAAAAACTGCATAGGTACGAAAAATATGACTAAGTATGAGTCTAATATATTTTTTAGTCAAAACAAACTCACCATTTTCAAATTCCAAAGCGGCAGCAGCAGAAGTACCTAGAGAAAAGGGAGAGGCGCATTACTCGGACTGTTAGGCGGCTATCAGCTGTTGATATTGATTGCAGTTGACGTGCACTACAGAGAACTGTGTGCATGTGCGACCTATTGCGAGTTGGCGTAGTCGAGCTCTAGTCTTGCGCTATGTCTCTGCGTCTCCATGATATACAAAGTATTTCGCCGTCTCGTCCGTCACGACATGTCGCAATATGTCGCTATATGTCGCGATATGTCGCGACATATAGCGACAAAGTGGGACTACCCCGGCGCTTCGCATTGATTGCATCCGCCGGCAATGATAAAGGATAGCCGCCTTGCCTGCCTCGCTCCATGGTAGTCAGCACATGTCACAGCAGACTCCGAGCTATACGTCAGCACATACGGGGGGTTTACTACAGGCCCTGATGTTGTTTCGAAAGTTTTTGCCTTTTGATAGTTTACAATACTCCACAGAACCACAATTGACAAGCGGCTCAAAGCGTCTTTTGATGCAGTTTCTTCTGTCTTGAATCCAATCTATCTCATCAACCATGCGCGTTCACGATCCTATGGGCTTAGCTCCTCAAGATCTCACAAGTGCGCCTGAATGTTAAGTTTTTTTACTCAGTTTTTTGATGAAAAGCAGGTATCAGTCACCGTAGAGAGCAAAGACCGCATATGTATATTTCTAGATTGCTCAGATCAATTTTTACAAATTTCACTGTTGTCCTCACGTACTTCACTCCCCTATTTTTCAAGCGGTTTAGACGAAGCAAATTTATCTAGATAATGCACTCAGATAATCGCTGGGGGTAGGCGGTCATGCGATTTAAGAGCGGGCGGGCACCGGAAAAATAGTTTGCTTATTTTTTGTGTTCCGCTCGCGGAAATTTGGAAGAATGTTGGCCAAATTTCAAACCCATGCTCGGAGAACAATTGCGATTTTTTCATAGATCATTTGCGGCGCAGTGGCAGCATTCTCGCGGACTTTCTGCGAGAACATGCAAAATTTTTGAGGGCCGCACGGTTTTCGTAAAGGACCGCGCAGCCTGTAAGTACTTCCCACTGAGAGAAAGTACCCCAAACTTGGGTAATTAAATCGATAACACCTCTGCCATGTAGAGTCTCATCTTTGCTCAGCTACGCCCGAAACTGCTCGAAAACCGTCCCAGCGCCAGCTGAAAATTTGACCAGCGCTCGCTGAAAGAAATTATTTGGCGACCGCTTGCAGAAAATTCTGTATTGCTGAACGCCGGCAGAATATGCGACAACGGTTTGGCCACGCCCGGAAATTTTGCTGACCGTCTGCCCCCGGCGATTATCTGAGCAAATGCCTCAAGTTTTTTGTTTTTGTCGCTTGGTTTGAATTTACTCGAGTCGTAATTTTGTCAGATTTAAGAAGAGGCGATCGTGAATGACTAAGGAACACAAGGGACTTATCTGCGAGCAGGCTTATGACAAAACTTCACTCTGTTTGTTTGCACTCTCGAAGAACAGTACTTTTCCGAGAATTCACAAAAAATTAAGCTTGATTAGTTGGACAATTGTCTAGTTTCGATGTATGGTTCATTTTTAAAATCGTGACGACGAGTTGACTGCGGTCTTCCCGCACAGAGAAGGATAAAACACCCATACAAACAGGCAACCGCTAAGCTTACTCACTTCCAGTACCTGAATACTATCATATGTAAGCGGAAAAACCATTTGAGTAGAGATAGAAACCAAGAATTGGGAGTGTGTGCGTGTTGCGCGCGGTCGCGCCATCGCCACGATTTTTCAAATGCCCCATACGCAAAGACCTTGGAAAGGCCTTGAAAAGCTGCATTAACGTGAGCGGTTAGGGTGCCCTTCTGGTTGTCTCTCTTGTGCGAGATTCTGTGACCGTGCAGAGTAAGCGAGAAGCTTTTGAAGAGTTTGAAGAATAGTGCAATCACTATCAAGCACAAAGAGGACTTCTTTCTTATAGCTTTTTTTGATATTTTTCAAAATCAAGATCTTGATGCCTTCAAATTCCATATTTGGTCAAACCTAATGGAACGTTTTTTCTTTTTTCTTTCTTTCTGCATTTCGAAAAAATATGTTGAAAAATGACCACCGCTTAGGCATGAGTCAAAAAATTTCAGCTGAAGCAGTTAAAAGCAGATTTGTAGTGCACATTGAAATAGCTTTGATTATGCTCTTACAAGAATGTCTTTCTAGCAAATTTTTCAAAAACTGCGGGAAAAGCTGTTCTTTTTAGTCAGAGATCTAACGTGCTTCAAGATTAGGACCCAGATTAGATCAGGCTCGCAGTGGAGAGAATATAGATGCTGCTAAAATTGGCAGACAATTTTAGTAGGGAAGCAAAAGTTTTGAAACATTCTCACTTTGAAAATGTCATGCGGATTGCGAAAACGAAGTTAAAGGCAGGGGCTCGGCAGATTCTCGACTTAAAGTTTTTTGCTTACCTGGGATGATTTGAGGCGCTGATTTCGATAATCCAGTTTGAAGAGCGCTAACGTGGCAAAAACACCATTTCCCAAGGCCTTCGATTTTGAATTTGGACGAGTGAAGCACACCCCGCCATGGTTAGAAAGGCAGAATTGTTGCGGGACCCTCGAGTGTTATAACATTGCGGCATGCCTTCTCTGACGGGTCATGGAGAATCGCAAGCTCGTCCGTGCGTATTCATGGCTTGCACGTAACTGGTTTAGGGACAGTTTTCTAGGCGAAGGCAGCATGCTATGCGCTCAGACCTGCTCTGTTCTCATGTTTGACATGCAAGCAATCTTCCACGTCAAAATTTCGGGATGAATGATTTTGGCGAGCTGCTGCCTTTAAGCACCTTACAAAGAGAGGATACTTAGTCGAAAGCACCCATCCAGATGAGGCATATACCATCGTGACCTGATCGGAGCGCTGATTTCAAATCTGTCCTCCTTGTCTGCGGAGCGCCTCTGGGTGAGGAGCTATGACCGTTTCAAGACCCAAAACTTAATGGGTAAAGAGAATAAAAGTGATTGTCACAACACGTATATTTTGCAGATAAACTCGTTTCAAGTGTGGGTATAGCAGATTGACATTTTTCTTTGCGCAGAGTAATCTGACAGACATCACTCCCCCATTCGAGCCCAAATGGAGCATTCTGCGTATAATTTTCTTCTTCCCTCAACTTTGAATTTTCTCCACAAAAACGCCCATAAGTCGTTGCCCAAAGGCGCTCCGCAGCTAATTTTGCCAGATTTGAAATCAGCGCTCCCATGATGATTTCTGTCTCATCTGGATTGGTGGTTTCGACTAAGTATTATCTCCTTCTTAGAATTCGACTTGCCGCTGGTGAAAAGCGCGAGTTCACATCCCGCCTGCTCCCGGCGATTGCTCAAGCAGCTTGGCTCCTACAAAAAACATAATTTTCAAATCGGATTGTCACTTCGATTTCATGGAAGGATTTTCGCGATCAGCTTAGTAAGTAACCCCAAAAGGCGGCGGAAATTGAATTCACCGAAACATTGATTTCAGGAACAAGGAAAAAAAGAATTTTGGAGAAACTCAACTCCGCCAAGCCCCTTTTAGAGCTCATTTCGTTCAGAGGTTGTTATGGCAGGAACCTCAGCTGAGGAGCACATTGTGCGAGTGTTTCTACAAACGACGTGACTTTTGTTTCGTTTCGTTTCCCAGCTTTAAAGGCAGTGTCCCGGCAGATTTTGCACCTCCACCTTTTTGCATTTTCTAGGCCTTTGCGCCACGTAGAATCCGAATTTGAGCTTTGAACAAGCTGAAAAGGCCGATTTTGGGGCGTTTTCCCAATTCCAGAAAAGCAGCTCGGACGAGATTTTTAATGGAAAGTTGGGATCCTCAGATAAGGTCCTCAGACGAAGACCCTGCCGCCTGTAATTCTTGCTTTGGATAGCATGCATCATGGGGGAGAGCGCTCGTGGGGTCCCGCGCCGAACAGGCGAGGAAGGCCGTCCAAGCGCGCGCCAGTTGGGGTTGCGCGCGCCGGTTCAAGGGCCATTTTCTCGGCCCAGGGGGAACATCACCCAGCCGGACTGCGCCTGGAGGTCGATAGGGTGACCAGGAACCCCACCACACGTGTATCCCCCAGGACCCGAATCTGCCGGGACACTGCCTTTAACCGTAATTCTCGCGGAAGTATCTATGGTTGTTGGGACCCGGCTAAGAAGCCTGCGTAAAATCAAGCGTTCCAGAGCTATTTTGCGCTGCATTTGCGCAGGTAGGCTGTTGAAAAGACCGGGGGGCGGAGGGAGGGGGGGGGGGGAAGGGATCAAATAGAGAGCCGCTAGCTACCTCGTGCTAGACAACTTTACATTATGTTGTTCAAAAAACTGCAAAAACTTTGCAAACAAAAGAGTTATTCGCAACCAAGAAATACGTTTTTGAGACGCCCTGTATGCCAGACCAAAAGCAGATTCTGTGTCCATGTCCTTCTACTTCCCGTGACAAAAACATAAGCTAGGTTTACCCAGTAGTTTTTTGCATCCATAAGTGCTTTGAAGAATGCTCAAAAATATGCTTAGAAATACAAGAGGTATTTTGCAGGAACAAATTCCTGCAAAATAAGCGTTAATTAGACGAGTTTATCCTTAAGATGTATTCAACTAAACGAACACCACGAAAGAGAAATACTACGGAAGAAAGTGACATCTGTCAGAAGCGAGGCAGTAACACCCAACGGCAGAATAGAGCGAAGGAGCCAGCCCAATGAAATGGCTTTGGCAGGAATCTTGTATCTGAGGCAATTTATTTCATAATGAAAAGTACTTCTTGCATCTACCCACAATACTGCAACTTAGAAACTTGAGAAAAAAGGCAGCGTCCAGTCGTTATTTTTTTGCAACAGACCAATTCTGAGAGCGTAGCAAATTCCAATTGAAGTGCGAACCTCTTTCGCTACCATCACAGCGTTGGCCGTCTTAGCGATAATAATAACTCGTCCAATGCCAGCGACATATTTTAGCTGCTCCTGAAGCTTGTTTGAAGTGGTCTGTAGCTGAAAAAAGTTTGCGCAGATGGGCAGCATGCCAAAGACTTTCCGTAAGTTTTCCAGATTTCCTGCAAGTTTGTTATCAACGGAGTCTGAGTCAAAATAGTTACGAACCATAAGTAAGATCAAACAATACGCTCACGTTTCTTGATAAGTTAAGGCTTGGCAGAACATCGAGAATGACGTTGTCGAATACAGTAACCGTAGGTATTAAGAAGATCTGATTTTGGGGAGTCTTGTCTGCAATTTGTTTGCAATATAAAATTCAACGAAAACATGAAAACTATGCATGAGTCCCTCAATTCTTCAATTGCCTACTTTTGCAAGTTTATTTGAGTTGAACTTGCACGTTGTGGCACGTCATGTTCGTCAGAGACCTCGGGCAGAGTTCAGGCGATTTGATCGTCGCGATTCAATCGCCGCGATTTTCATTTATTTTGAGATGCAAGCTGATCGGCATGCAATGAACTCGTAACAGTTGTCTTGTCGTTATTGAATAGCGACGATCAAATCCCGTGAACTCTTCCCGAGGCCAGAGGCTGTAATTGATACGACGACATAAGAACATAAGAACTTCAAGCGTACAACCTGACAGTAACACAAGAGAACCTTGTCTCACTTTTGAACTTTTATAAATCATCAATCAACCTAATGCAGTGCTTGTTTGTGATACATATTCAATAAGTACCAACTAATAAAATTTCTAAGAGAGTATGCCACGATTACTACTGGTTAACTGAGGTGCTTACTAATTTTAGCAGCTTCGTGTTTCGTCGGCAATAGCAACAGCAGAAAAACACCGGTGGCCGTCTGTAGGAGCCGAAACTCCGATTGCTTTAGTCACGAAGGCGAACATTACATTTTCATCATGGGCCAATGCATTTGTTCTCTAACTTTGGTTATCCTCCATGCTACTTCCTCTTCACATTCTTACAACTTTATTGTAAGAAATACATGACAACCACATACAAAGATGAGCGGAAAATTAGAAAGCTAAAGCCTTTTTCGAATATATGGCTTAAAGATATTTTGCTCTGTTCCTCGTGACATTCCTCCGCGCGTGAAGATCAAGATTTTTTGAAATCTGTTCCACCACCAAGATAACAAGCCATCTCAGTTATTCCTTGGTGCTTGAAGGCTACTGCACGACGACGAAGCAGAAGGCGCAGAAGCAGTATTAGTTGAGCGGGCGCGAACTCGGTGCGCGCATATCTTCACGTTGTAAACCCTGCGCTTATGCGCTCTGCGGTTAATAAAGCGTTCGCGCCCAAAGGTATGCGCCTTCGTTATGCAGTATGTTATACACTTTCCCGCCTGCCAAAAAAGCGACCAAACCTTAGCATTTTACAGTCTGCCCTTTGAAAATGAGCCGGGAGGGGGGGGGACCAGTTTGTGAAAACACATCTCTATTACTTTTGCCTCTGCTATGTTTGACCTTCATTACGCGTGCAATCTAAGAACAGGAAGCATCTTTGAAACAGCAATACTTATATTCTTACTCTGCGAGAAACCAGATGCTCAAACATCTTCAATAGACTTACAGCCGAGGAGATCAGGCAAATGACAAGTGCATGCATTTGGTGAAAATGTGACGTTCTTGCAGCCTTATAAGCACAAAAATACTGTTATGGGCTCATGTCGGTTCCTGCGGGCTTGTTGGCTTCTACAGGCTTCTTCCAGTGCTTAACGGCAATTGCCTAAACAATGAAAGTATAGGCTGCTGCATGACGAAGGCGCTACATCTTTAGGAGCGAAGGCGGTTTTACTAGCCGCAGAGCGCATGAGGCGCAGGATTTACAACAGTGAGGATACGCGCGCGCCTCGTTTGCACCCGTTCAACTGCTACTGCTTCTGCGCCTTCGTTCTGCACTAGCCTTACTCTTAAGGGCTCAGCGTCAAGCTCAACGTCTCAGCGTCGTTTAGGGAAGTATCCTGAATAGTTACTATTTCTTTCTAAATTAAGTTTTTCAAAATGAGTTTCCAAGTCAATCCAGCTTTAAAGCAGAAGAACAACTTTCCTTTCATAGAACTTCCGATAAAGAAAGGTGATTTCCATCATGTCGAATGCAGTACTCAATTAGAAATGAAACTAACAAAACAATAATTGAAAACTGAGCTGCCAATTCCGACAAGTTGCATATTGAATGCATTTATGCTGGTCCCTCTATACTTCTTATTTGGTGAACGCGTCTGTAGAGGAAATTAAAGTTGTTATAGGACGTCCGCGCAGGGCGCAGAGAGTGCGCAAAGCGTGTATTGCGCCTCACTCCTCTTTCCCCGTGCACTTTCGCCGCCTTTTTCTCTGCCTTCTTCCAGTCGTGAACTGTCTTTAGTGGACGCAAGAGCGTTCCTCTCCGTGCGCAGCGCGGACGACGACATAGACTGCAAATGTGAGTTGTAACTCGAGTATAGGCTCTTCGCAAACTATGTCAACGACTACTCGCTTGCTTAAACATGAACGAAAATCCCCAGTTTCGATTGTTTTAATACTGGGGCGCCGCATTAGTTGGATAGTCAGCATGTTAGGCCCCGGGCTTGCTTTATGAGGCTTCGGTGGCGAGCAATTTGGCAGTAGTCCAGTTGTTCATAACCCATCGCAAGCGCATTCTGAATTGTAAAAGACCATCTTGTTACTTTATGTTAATTACATCATGTACACACTATACATTTGTAGTCTGCAAGCGTGCATTCGAAAAATCTGTCAAACTATCACATCGCGGCACGACCTGAATCGCATAAAGTATGCCGAACCTCAGTCAACCAAGCTCTGCATGGCATCTAGCACACTAGCTACTGACTATTTAACAAACAAGGACTGGCACTAACCGGTGTTATTCTCAAGTAGCGCATTCCAGTCGCTTCGAAGGAGATGAACCGTGGGTATGCCTGAGCTCTGTGACATATTCATGACTAATTGTTGACCAATTTCAGTCTTACAAGCACTGATCAAAATACTGACATTTTCAATCGCTTCACATACTGAAAATTTGTAGTCTTTGAAAAGAATTGCGAGCAATAAAAAAGTTTTGCTTGAGCTTTTTTTATTTTAATCAAGATTTTATGCTATTTCAAAATTATTGGCATTAGTAATGCCATAGAAGAGACTACTCGCAAAGTTCATTTATTTCGTAACGCATCACTACCGTTTCAAAAAACAATGTCCACTTACTGTCATTCAAAGATGTTTCATTTGTGATAATGGTATGTTTAATAGTGATGATATTATGCATTTTTAGCTCACGAGAGTGGTATCTTTGAGATACGGCTAGATGCTGATAAATACTCAAGCTTTCTTCATCATCCTCGGATATGTAAGCTAAAACAACCGTAAGATTATTGTGGAATTTGATCACAAATACGCCTAATATCTTGCCTATGATATCCTCTGATGATGTGGTCTGTAATATACACTGTAGTATGAAGTATATAGCAACATTCCCAGATAGAAACATTCGCCTGGAAGACATGAGCATGTGGAGGCCGAGCAATTGCTCTAGGAGCGAAGAAAGATGTATAACAACTTTTTAAACAAGTGTGCATTGTGCAGTTGAAATTTGATGTCTATCACAGCTTTAAAGTTAAATAAACAGTGTAGCAAATACAGAGGAAAACATGTCACGCTAACGAATGCATTTCATCACGAAATGACTTCCATTCTCACAGGTTCTGAAGAGTTATGGAAGAGGTTGCAAAAGTTTGTAATGAAAGCTTGTACTGTAATTCCGCTTTCTTCTCCCACTCATTATAGCACCCTATTGGATTTCAATTTTTTGTACAGGCACAGCAGCGAATCATAAAACATTCTCACGCCTAGGAGCTGTCGCGTTTCAGAAGAGAAAAATAATTACACCTTTTGCCTTTAATTGCATTGAGAATCAAGTTGTTCCGGAAAATTGCTGATTCACGAAATTTTCTGGCACTCATCGTTAAATGGAGGTTTTGAATTTTGCTACGTTCTTTTCACTGAACGCAATAAAAGGCGCCCGGGTAAATTTTGAGCAATCTCTAATGATGACAAGCGGACCTTGCCTCGACTATCATTTCGAGGCGCTCTCAAACTTCTGATGCCTAGAATGGTTTATATTTACCTAGTACGTTGCCTGTATAACGATTACACCTCGTGTGCACAGCTAGAAAATTTTTGCAACCCTAAGCACTCTGGTTGCAATTTGAGCGCTTTTGTTCAAGAAATGGCATGGCATGCTTTGGCCTTTTATCATTAAAAAAAAAACGGCTCCAAACTTCAAAATTTCTGTATACGTTAGTATTTCATGAACTGCGGAAAAGAAATTGATAAGATTCAGAGTTATGCTAAATCCACTGCGCACAACAAAACTGTATGAAAAGCATCTCTTTGTTGCAACTGCAGCTAAACGAAATAACTGACGGAATTTGCTTGAACAATTTACCATCCAGGCACTGTGATAACTTCAACGCAGAATTTTTAGAGCATCAAAAATCAAAATTTGTGGCTCAAAAGCATGTTTATTCGTAAATGAAGATAAGGCCCGTTTCCCAAAATCTGCTTTTGCGCGCGAAATTTTTAATCAACGTTTTTATAAATGTAGCGAAAAAGAACCTGTTGAATATGTACCTGAGAACTGAGAGTAGTTACTCGAAGTAATTTGAGTATCCTTATGAGCACACGTTTTTTTCCTTGCGAAACGCAACAGCTTATAGTGTTACAAATGTCTCACGTGATGATGTATTTGTACAAAAAAATTGAGAGCTAAAAACGTAAAGAGACTAAAAAAATAAGTAACTTTGTAGCTATGGTCATTCTCCATCACAAGTTTTATATTTCTTTAGCCAAACTCACTGAAACATGAAGCCCTCTTAACTATATTACGTTAAACATCACGTTTGCATATATACTAACTTGAAATTTAAAGCAATGATTTTGACAACAGCGCAAGATAAGATGATTTGCAAGGTGGCCTTATAGCTATGGCTAGACTGTAGAAGTGGCAGACGGCAGGGCAGATACAAAAAGAAGGAGGCGATGGACAAGACTTTGCTGGGGAATTCTTCGAAGTTTCGAAAGTGGCCTGCAAATCAAATCACGCAGTTTACCTAACCAAAATAAATTTGTGGTAATGATTTGATTTATTGATTTGATTTGGTTTACAGATTCCTTGTAAGTAACAAGAACTGGCCACGTTTTTCCCATCTTACAAGGATAAGCTAGGAAATGTTTGGGGTTCCCAGGAATTTTTTTCCTGGTGAGATTACCTACCCCATTCTGTTCAGAAATGTTCTTCCACCTATTTCATGAATTTTTGCATACAAAACTAAGCTGGAACATAAAACATATGACATGCACAGGGCAAACCCTTTTTGAAGAAAAATTGCAACTACAACGCGATGGTTTGACTTTTACCGGAAAGCATTGCGTTAGGGAGTGATGTGTCAGTTATGATAATCCTGTGAAGTAGTAAATTTGGCGCTGTGACAGTATGGTACTTTCCTGTTTATCCTTTCGACATGAAGGACTTGCTCTAACCGTTCTGATGCCCGCAACTGTTTGCGGTCAGGATCAAGCGTAGAAGAAGCTTCACGTTGATCAAGGAAGAACGAAGCTTTCCGCTGATCAAGGATAAGAAGAATCCATTCGACAATTAAGGATGAGAAGGAGCCCCAGGACCAACGAAAGCTCTATACCATCAAAAACCACAAGGGCTAAAAACAAAGAGCTCCAAGCTTAGAGACGACCTCAGAGCTTCTTCAGATAAGCTACCGCTTTCACTAGAAGCTATAAACGATCTGCGAAGAGAAAAAATTATGTCGAGGGACTAACCGGTCGAGAATGACATAGGAAAAGGTGAACAAGAAGTGCAAAGACCCGCATTTGGAGAAGATTATGCGAATGATTGCAGAACTATGCGTCTTCATTACGAGGAATTGCCGCTGTTCGCCAGCCTTACAAAAGGCCAGAATGTTCCCAGGACGCTGCTAAGGATCTATATATCCAGTTTAGCAAGAATTTTCGAGGTTTTTCGACGAAGACACTGGAAACACATTCGCATATCCTTACGACATGTACGGCCCAGTCATAGAAGATGCTGTTCTACCAGACAATAGAAAGTGGGAATTGATCCTCATGGAACTTGATGAGGACGTACCGATTGCTCCCGCGCAGTTTTTGCTTCAAGAATTTTTTATGCTCGCTCAAATAGGATAGAATTAGTCAAGAAATCCAAACCAATTTTGACAGACATAATGTATGGACGGAATGCGTCTGAGTTACCATTTGGTTGTGGCTTACTACCGTTCCTACAGTTTCATTGAATTTTTTTCGCAATTTCTTCTCAGAGAGCAATACTCATATAACAACTGGATATGGCCGGCCCAAAATGACATAAAAAATCAAGGAATTTGAACGGAATTTTGCGCACATAAATTTGGGGCGCAGCGGGTGTCGCTTAACTTTTTCACTGAAAATCATCAAATTGCGTTATTGATTAATTAAATTTTGGCGTTTCCAAATCAAACTTCGCATTCTTAGGGGCGGGGCGGATGTCAATTATTTCCACCGAAGTAAGCTTTGCCGATTCATTGATTTGTTTTGTATACGCTAAAGGACTAAAATATTGGCAGGAATGGGTGGGTGAGCAGCGTATCACGAATATAAATTACTTTGATTACCGAAGTTTATTTTTGTGAATTTTTGTATGTTACATCCTCTAGGCTTACCTGATATTCAACTGCACTAACCTTTCTCAATGGAGTTTATCGGCAGCTAGCTGCACCACCAAAATCGAAAATGATCAAGACCTTATAATAACGGGCTAAGGGTTGTTTACGTGTTTTTGTGTGTGTGTGTGTGTCCGTCTGTTACGAAATTCGTAGAGCGTGTTCCAGCCAGCGTTTTAAGCCCAAATTTTGCATAGCGCATGCTACCTTCATGAAAGTTCAACGTGCAAAAGCACGAATAGATTCGTTGAATGGGTCCCTCAGAAATTGCGCGCCAAACGGATCCACCTGGCTTCTGTCCCGCAACATTGGGTCCATATCACCACTTTTTGCAAAGTCCTGGATGTGTTTGGTAAGCAAATGTGCAAGCGATGGACTTTAGCCCAAAAAGTGGTCAAAAGTTTGCTACATAACGAAAACGGCACCAGAAAGAGTTGGTTGCGTAAATGGTTAATTTGCTAAGGTTCTAGCTAAGCGTTTCAAAAGATTTTCGCACGGAGATGTAGCTCACGGTTACTATTGCCTTTAAGGGGGCTACCAAGCCATGACAACTTCAAAAACCTATTCAAATTTGCGTTGTCTTCCTACGAAAAGTTTCATCCACGCGAAATCACCGATCTCACGTGAAAAAACTTTCTGAATGAGTAGCTGTTTACATTTAATTCGTGGTAGTCGGCATAGTGCGGTAAGTTCCATTGCCACGATTTTACGAGAATGAGTAAGGCACATAGATAGTAGAGCCAGCGCGAGCCTCTGCGAAGCAGAGGTGACGCACTGGTTACTTATACACAAGATCAAACGTGAACACCACCAACAACATTCATAATCAACATCCTTATATTCCGGCCGTATCGTGTTATTCAAACGTTCACGCCAATCGCATCTTACCTCTTTCGACTGATTCCACTTCCGACACCGTAATGCCTTCCTTCATCCCGTATAGCAATGGACCGTCCACTTCCACACCGCAGTCGCAGATGATCATTGCCCAAAAGACCCAAGCCCGTGCCGCTGAAGGCGCCTGAAGCCATGCGTATAATCATCACCGCACTAGTCGGCTCATTGGACGAATTCGAATTCAAACTGGAGCAGGTCGGTTGCGGCAAAGCGCGGCACTATGCCAATACTTCTAGTCAAATTTGCGTTTTGTTGTTGTTGAGTGTTTTTTCGCATAGTTATGCTCGGTTTGTTGAGGTGATTTTATTTAAGCTTCTAAAAACGATGCAGATGGCAAATTTTTGTGACATTGATCACTAAAACAACACTTTGCACGTGATACTCACAAGAGAAAAAGATTTGCAGCAGTGGTTTTCCATCTGTATTGTTTCTTTAATTACTTGTATTCAGACTTGAGACAATGTTCGATTCGAATTTGTCCACTGACCGACTAGTGGGGTGAGGACGATTATAGCTGCCCTCGCTGCAACACAGAAACAGAAGCACGAGAAACGTTTTGCCGCAATGCGTAAACGTCATTTTTATCTTCGACAGCACCCATGAGTTCAGCGAACGGGAGACGATGCATCAACCCAAGCATCGTGCAAACGCGAAACGAGTTCGCCAGCGACGATCTGAGGAAGTTGATGAGACTTAACACAAACAATTGCTAAGCTTGCCTCCCAGCAACATGAAATCTACGAACTCTGTCTCTATGACGCAGATGCACACCAATCAGGAGACTCTAACCATACATACTGCTGCAAAGCACACTTCTAAGGCCAAGCGCAGCCTTCACCCCCGTAGCCAGAAGACACCAGAAACGTGATGTATGTTAATGAGCTATTTTAAAAATGAATAAATCGATATCGATCGATGAGGAGTATTCAATGACATCGAACTCTCCCCAAGTGTACATATATGCGCAAACTTTGGTCCGGACTGGTCCAAAAAATACAAATTTATTCGGAACATACGCAACACCGACTTGCTTCCATAGAAATAGATTTTATTTGAAAAAACATGATATAGCTTTTTTATCTCATTTCGCAAGGTAAGCTTTTGCGGCTGCAATAGACTCGTCGAGTGTCATCTGATCCATAGCTGCTGCCTCTTCACGTATGTCCGAGTAGAGAGCTGTGGATCTGAAATCATAAATTTGTATGGTTACATAATCTTGCAAACCAGTGAGATCCATAGTTTCCAAAAAAAGGAGAAAAAAGGTTTACTTACAGGTAACGCTCTCCAAAACTGTTGATCGCAGTAACAATGAGTTTTCCTTTGTTTTCCGGTCGCTTTGCTAGCTAAAACAGATTGAGAATTCGGAAAAGAATTCAGAATGCAGGTCAATGAACAGTTCCGTTGTGAGTCACTCAAAAACTAACTTGAATTGCTGCACAGACATTAGCACCAGATGATATTCCACCTAAGATTGCCTCCTCTTTTGCCAGCCTCTTCGCCATAGCAATGGCATCATCAGAATGAACACGTATAGCTTCTGTGAAGAGTGTGCGATCGAGCACTTCTGGCACCATTCCGATGCCCATGCCTATATCAAAATTCAAGTAATTTGAAGCACCTTTAGGTTTAACTAAACTTTACCTTGAATTTTGTGCGGACTGTGCGGTAGACCTGTGATGGCAGATGACTCGACTGGTTCGACTGGGTAGCACTACAGAGAGCGTATTCCTGATTTGTAAATTCAAAAATTGCACAAAGTTACCTCAATATTCGGGTTCTGCTCCTTTAGATAACGGCCTACACCCGTAAAGGTACCAGCAGAACCGACTCCAAAGCATACTATGTCAACCTTGATAAAGAAAATTTTTTATTAGATTGGAATAAACCCGCCCTGAAATTTTCGTCAAACTTTGTTTATTCAAATTTAGCTATATTGCTTCGGAATTTCTACTGATTCACATTTAATAATGGCGGACCAAAAAGAAACATGAGGGGGGGGGGGAGTAACTTAAGTTTCTTCGGCAGAGATGTACTATTTTTTTAATCCTCTATAATCCAAATTAGCGCTTCAATCTACGATTAAAAACTTGTGCAAAAACTAAGGAAATTGCCTAAAATATGTTAATGGATGTAACTAACGCTTATGCTCTCTTATTCAAAAAATTTTTGTCGCTTCCAAAAAGTTTTTTGGCTATCTCACTGCAATCTATCTAAGGCAGGGCTCGGCACGAGGTGGCTAGCTGAAAATACAAAAAACGAAGTCCCCCTTGACTTTTGCGAATTTTCACGAAGTCCCCTTTGACCCTAGACCAGGGCTCGGCACGAGGTGGCGTCCCGAAATTGCAAAAAATAAAGTCCCTTTTGACTTCAATGAAATTACGACATCCGCCATGAGATATTCGAAGAGAAAATACATGAAAAGGAACGGAACAAAGCAACAGCAGAAAAAACGAAGAAGAATCATCGAACACATGCAATTATATTCATATTCTCCGGAATGGCGGCATGATGTATCCATCGTGCAGCAATACGCGCCTAGAGCAGCTTTTCCGCGGCCATTCAAAATTTTCAAGGGGCTATAACTAAGCGGGGAGAAGGGGGTTTGAGGCGGTTTAGGAACTAGTTTGTAGAGTTCGGGATGTAGATGAAAAGTATGTAAAGAAAGTGGAAAAATTATGTGAGGGAGGAAAAATTTATGACTTTTTCTTTCCTAAGCCACCTCAGGTGGCTATCCATGTGGCTTGAAAGCCACCTAACTCCGAAAAAAGTTGAGCACGCCTTTAGTTCACATAATGTTTTCATAATTTTTCATACTTAGTTCTAACTCCCCATTGCCCATCTACACACCTATTTTGGTGTCATTTCATCATCAATTCGCTAATCCTTTTGTTTATTTGCTAGCGGCATGCCGGCAGCGTGCCGGCCGCAGATCGAGAGACAACGTTATTCTCTTCCGCAAAAACGATATCCCCTATGCTTTTTCCCCAAAAACGATATCCAGCTTGCTTGCTAAGCCACCTGTGCCGTGCCCTGATCTAAGGCTACAATGTTCGCTGTACCTAGTCCGATGGTTCTTTAGACTGATTTATGAGAAAAATGTAACATTGGTAGATGTAAGTCTTACTTTTCCATTTGTCTGCTTCCAAATTTCCGGACCTGTCGTGCGATAATGTGCTGCAGGATTTGCAGGGTTAGAAAACTGAAACATATTTGCTACTTCGAGATAGTCATTGTAAGTAAATGTGATATAAACGTGGTATGTATGCGCAAATATTTAAACATCACACACTGTGATTTGAATTGCAACTTGAAGTGCATAACTACCTGGTTCAAAATATATGAATTGGGGATGATTGACGCTAATTGTTTAGCTCGCTCGATAGCACCTTTCACTGCTTGTGCTGGATCAGTCAGAATTACCTGCAATTCATTAACAAGCCTAATTTATTCAACACTTATGCGAAAAAGTGGACTATGCAAGCTCAAAGATAGAAGCTCTTACCTCTGCACCATAAGCTTTGAGAAGTGCCCTTCGCTCAACGCTCATCGATGATGGCATCGTTAGGATTACCTTGTAGCTAAACAATCACTCTCTTCTTGAAACAGAGTTTTTCAGGGTGAAATGTTGCAAAAGTTACCCTTTCCAGTTAGCACAGTAAGCCAACGCAATACCCATATTTCCACTAGTGGGTTCTATGAGTATCGTCTTTCCAGGTGTTATTTTTCCTTCCCTTTCCGCTGCTTCGATCATACTGAATGCTATGCGGTCCTTGACCGAGCCGGCTGGGTTCATGTATTCTAGCTTGACCGCTGAAATATTACGTACTTCGGTCTTTACAGAAGTTTTCACTTTGGCATTTTGGAATAAACTTTGAGGGGGAGGGGAGGAGGGACGGGGAGCACAGGTAAGTCTTTTGTGAAAACCTCACTCATAGGATTATCGTCATGAAATTTCGTACTTAGTTTATTTGATAGTCTGCACTCATTATTTTTTCGTTTCTTGCGTGATTTTCCGAACAAAAATGCAGTAGACAGAAAAAGGATACGGTCTTTAACAAGCCGATGGGTGCATTGAAAAAGCTTTACTGTCATTTTGTCTACGCAAATTGATAATGATAAGAGGATTATCCATATAAGGAAAATTAGAGGTTTTACATAGATCGTTTGGAAAATAGTACGTTAGCTTACCTATTGTGGCGTCTAATCCTTTTGTGATATGATTTAACTTGAGAAGTGGAGTATTACCAATGACATCACCACCAGAAGTGGCCATGGTGTCGCGCGACATCTTCCTAAACTTACAAAGATTTTCGCTGAGCCGTCAGTTCAAGGAAGCATGTGTGATGATCGGCAATGAGCGATAAAAGAAAAAATTGAATACGCCATTATCTTTGAAATTTAAAAAAGGTACGCCATGTCGACTAGGAAACCATATTGTAGTTGAGTTGCTTGCAAATTTAATCTCTGTGCAGGGAAAAGGGTACAGTACACAGTTTTTCAATAACTGTTTATCTTGACATGATTTCTTCGGGCAAAACTGATAGTTTACGCAAAAATATCTCCATCAACGATGCCGTGATGCTGCACTCCATAAAAAATCTTGTGCTATAATTTGGTACCTCCAGATTACTAGCACACACGTTATAGTGTTGCAAAATCAGGTTGGCGCAAAAGTGCTTGGAGTTTTTTGAGCAATTCGTTACGTGCCGTATGGATGGATTTCACTAATCAAATTCTATCAAAAAGAAGAAGTCTTTGACTTCGCAGCATCCAAGGATTTGAAGTTTACAATAAAACTAGCTATCAGTGCTTAGCAGTGCGTACCGAGGGGGGGGGGGCGGATGTATGTCAAGAGGAGCGATTTTTATTGGCCCCCCCCCCCGAGAATAGGTCGCGAAATTTGAAAGTTACTTACATGAGTTATAAAAAGTTATAAAAATGTATAAGTGACTCGCTCGTACTTGTAAATAATTAAAATATTTTCTAAAATTCTTTGAAAAATCAATTTAGTCTTATAAAAAAATGGGTTTGTGGGCCCGCGAAAACTTTAAGAAGCATCCCAAAAAAAATTTTGGAATGCGTGGCTAAGGCCACGCATCTTCATCAGAAAAAAACTATTGTTGTGCCTCCCCCGAACAGAAATTCTGGGTACAACAGTGGTGCTTAGGTTTTTATGAGGTTGAACCGAAAGTCTTGTCGCACCATTTTCGAAAAATCATAACTTCTCTCCCTCGATTTTGCGCAATTCAAATTTTGTCAGAAAGCGAAAAGCATGTAGTTTCCAAAACTCTCCTGGGGACTTTCCAATATGCTCAGGTTGCAAAGTTAAAAATGAAAGAACGAGATCATTCGAAATCCAGAATTTTAAGCAAAAAATCCAAAATTCTAGAAGCTCTGCGATAAAATCCAGAATAGCTGTCATCCTAAGTTTTCTTGTATTTTATTACTAGCTGAGTCAATTTTGTGCTGATAGAGGTCTTCTTTCAGAAGTTATGATTTTCTAAGAAAGAACACCGAAAAATCAATTTCCTAAGAATTCTTAAGAAATATTTTTCGGCTTTTTTTTTCTCAAAAAATCATAACTTTTGAAAGAAGACCTCAATCAGCACAAACTTGACTCATTTAGTAATAAAACACAAGAAAATTTAGGACGACAGCTGTTCTGGATTTTATCGCACAGTTACTAGATTTTTAGATTTTTTTGCTTGAAAATTCCGAATTTCGAATAATCTCGTTCTTTCATTGTTATCTCTGCAATCTGAGCATGTTGGAAAGTCCCTAGGGTAGCAGTTTCGGAAACGACATGCTTTACGCTTTTTGATAAAATTTGAAATGAGCAAAAATGTTGTGAGGGAAAGAAGTTATGATCTTTTGAAAATGGTGCGACAGAACTTTCGGTTCAACCCAATATATTCTACTGAAATTAGGGAAGTTTGACTGTTTTTTTTTCGCACGAAAATCTATGACCGAAAAAAGAACAAAAAATAAATTCCGCTGTATTGTGTTAGCTTCGAAAATTATCCTCGTACAAACGGTAAGCACATCTAGGGTACGAAAACCAAGAAAATTCGGAGAATTTCCTATCACGCTTTAGAACATAGTTGCAAAGATGATGAAACGTCAAAAGGAAACTAGGCGATCAGGAGACCAAAGAATCTGCTGTCTCAAATTGATCGTTAGGTTAGGGCAGTGTCTGGTAATTAAGAGGTCAACAACAGGAAACGAGATTTAATCAAGTCTCTTACGAAAGAATTGAATAGTACTCTAGTTTGCACGGAATCTTTTTCTTTTGCAAAGAAATTTTTTGACAAATTATTTGATTTTCACATTAGCAGTAAACTGTAAGGAGGGAACAGAAAATGCTAATAAACAGCAAGGCATCTTGACTTTAAAAAAGTAATCAACTTATATATCGGTTGACTTATAGTATCCGTTTTGTGCTAATCGAAATAAATAGTTTAAGAGATACATCACATGTTTGCTGTAGAGTGAAAATGGAAAGTTTGCCAAGTATAGAAGATAGAAATCTTTTACTGTTTCTCTGTGAATTAATTCTGATAAATGTATTGTTAAACATGACAGAAGATTGGAATAATATAAAAATTCTAAGGTTCAAAAATCTAGCTCATTATGAAGGGAAAACTTGCCTTCAGCGCAAAGAATAACAAATTTGGCGCAATGCAGAGACTCTAACCTGCAGTTCGGTAACTTACAAATTTGGATTGGTGGGTAGGAAGTTTCAAATGTTTCTACCTCCGAGTTTTCATGGGCTCGCCAAAATTTGCTAGTCTCTGCGAGAACTTACTTGTCTAAATGCAACTAAATTTTCGCAGTAAGCATAAATGAATAAACTGAATTGAAACGAAAAGGTGAGATATATGACTTATGAATTATGAAGTGCAATAGGACTTTAGGTTCACTAAAGATGATGACTACAAGTGTCATCAACTTGCGCTTTTCGTCAAAGGGGTTTGAGTGAACTTTGTCATGCCTTTGGTACAGCGACCTTGATTTATAACCGCATCACACATCTTGTCGACTAATTGAAAAGGGATATTGCGAAAAAACACTGTAAAGAATGTCATCAAAAAGTTTGCGATGTTGTATGCATCGATGGACAAGATTTGTAGAAGTTTCATGAAAAGAAGCATCGAATATTTCCATTACATCGTTTGAGGCCAAACATGTACGCAGACTGACCATCTATTCCTAGCATAGAAATTCGGAATCCATAGCTTTCGGAGCCTATCGTCAATGCCGAGTTCTCTTGCGGATAGCTGCTCTGAGTAGGCAGCGCTTGATATTTTTAATACCTACGGTGATACTAATACTACCTTTGCAAAACCCACCTGTACGAGAAACAATGACACTACTAGGCCTATAAAGCTTGGAATAATTAAGCTTGTTGGGTAGCTGCTTTGACACTCAGCATTACAAGATTTTCTGCGCAGTAGGTGCAACTGCTCTCACGTTTATACTTCATTCTTTATCTGTGTGCAAAAGAATCATCAGCAAACAGAAACACACTCACATAAGTACATTAGAAATTCAAAACAAAAATTCGCACCACATAATCGGCGAAAATCTTCATTTCTTATTTCTCATCTGCTTCTCCAATTGTTTTTTCTCCTCTTACTCTTTTTTTCTGCGACTGGATGCAGTTCTCTCATGGCTACTTTCCAACAGCTTTGCAAAAGTACTCAGAGATCAAGCACTGTAGTGCTGACACCTTCGTGTGTAATAAATCGAGTGAGGTGAGCACTTTGTCTTCTTGAGACTTGTCCGCTGTTCTGAGGAATTCTCGGTCTTCAGAAATAGGATCTCTCGAGTAGTGCATGGAATTCGCGATGCCGCACCCCATCATCCTGTTACAGGAGAACTAATTAGATCATAAGAAATATTTGTAAACTTGAATCTCATTGCTTTTATGATGGCGATTTCCAATACCACACCTGCATTCGTCTTTTAAATAACAGTCGCTTCAAGCACAACCATTGAATGCGGGGGTGCGACAAACCAGGTATTTTGGACTCCTACCATTGTTAAAATCATTAAAGGTGTGATTCCTCTAAATGCAGAAAAGGGTAGCTGACTTATTATTATAGATTGTGAAGAAAGTTCTACCAATTCTTCTTTTGAATACCAAACATGAATGCGAATGCAAGGGGCTGGTTTGAATTGTATTCTTAGTCTGCAATGGCCCCGACTACCCAACACGCTATTCAGCTCGAAAAAATGATGATTAACTAGGAAGAAAAGCCCAAAAAAAGAGAAAAATCCGTTGCGCTCAGGTCTTGAAAAGGCACATTTTTCAGATTATGGACGCGCAGAACTTTCAGAAACTTGATTCAAAAATCCGTTTTTTATCACGTGTATTGGCTAAGTGGAGCAGTATCCGACTATTACTGGCCCCGGTGGGGTCTTTTTGCAAGCAAGAAATAACTCATTCAACTTAGGCAAAAAATCGAACTCTCCACATGTTTTAAAACGCAGCCAGCGCGCTTTTTGAAAAAAAGCATCTATGACATACCTAACCAGTAGTTGAGGTTGTTAGTAAAAATGGCCAAAATATCGCTAATAGCCCTAAATAGCCACTCATGATGAAGATATAGATAAAACAATTTAGCTCAACGTCTATAGGCAGAACCTTCTTTACAACCTAATATTTATTTTCAAGATATAAATTAATAGTTTTTAAATAACCAATATTTCTCTAATTGCCTCAAAACTGCGCAACGTAAACCACTAAAATAGAAATATTACAAGCCTGTGAAAGCTTTCAGTATCAAACATACCGTACACAGAAGACCCGGAGTACCATTTGCAAATCTTCCCACGACGGGGAAATTTGATTTTACTTGGACGCAACGGCCTATCACAGGATTCCACCTTACCCATCTTTAATATTTCCTTGTTCTTGCAATGGGTTAGCAGCATCTCAAAATGAAAAAAAAAACAGTTCAGCATTGCTTTCCGCATAAACGTAAACTCTCACCGAAACTCTTCTTCCACCCTTTTATTGGCGAATGCCCTAGTCCAAGACAGATGGCTGTATAGGTAGAGGATTTCTGGAACAATAGGTGGACTCTAAAATATAATGGAGGTGGAAAAGGACGCGTACGAACGTTTCTTCCATGTATGAAGCAAAACAGAATAAACTGTACTACAAGTTCAAAGCTCTGATGGAAAATGATATGAAAAGAGAGGGTTTGATAAAGCACAAGAACTACACGTTGTTTGAATGATGTGTGGTTTTTGCGCGTTCTCAGCTTCTTTTCCGTTCACATA